CTGGTCAAGAGTCATCAGGCTTTGGCATGGTCAGCTAAGGCGGCTTCTGCTGCATTCTTTTTCAATACGGCTTCATTGCTCTGGTTATGTCAATTGCAGGGCCGTCTGCCAGTCACTGACACCCGCTCACACCAAGATATCAACAAGATCATGGCGGTGGTGGAATTTTCTGCTGATGTGACACTAACTGCATCTCATTTCTCAGCCAAAGCCATTGGCTCTGCTATTATGGCTCATTGCCTCCTGTGGCTTCGCCAGTGGCAGGCCAATGCTAGGACCTAGTGGTGTTTGGCTTCTTCCCCGTATAAAGGGGATAAATTATTTGGAGAAGCTCTTGACCCCATTCTTGTGGAGTCTCAAGACAAACACAAGATTATGCCTAATTTGACCAGATGGGTGGAGGCCTACCCAGGGCCTTATTTTTGTCCTTTTTCCTTTCGAGGAGTGGAAAGTGGTCTTGGGGGACAACGTTTGCAGAGACCCTTTTCTGTCAGACAGGGCCACAGTCAGGACAGACAGAGCTGGCAGGGGCAGCGTTATCCTCCCTTTTGGGGTGGGAGGAGTCGCTCCTATTGACGACAAATGACTGCTTGTCCGATCCTCCCATAGGGGTCTGGCTGGCTCTCTTTGCCAACCAGTGGGAAGATTTCACATCGGACTCTTGGGTCAGGAAGACGGTAAGGTCGGGCCTCTCCCTGGAGTTCCTCACCAGCCCCCCAAGGATTTTTGTCTGCTGTCCTGTGTCTCACAATTGGGCCATGTTGTGGTCTGCCAGCAGCCTGCGGAAGTGGCAGCGGAGTTGGACAGTGATGAGGCTGAGGAAGAACATGGGCCAGTCCTGGAGGCTGGGGAAGGCCCAGATGAGGGCTCTGCATTGGAGGCAGAGATGGGACCAGGGCCATCGGGGAGTGATGCACGGACTTCGGAGCCTCCAGAGGCTGACAGTAGAGAGGCAGAGGAACAGGCTCCTCCTGTTCCTAGTGCACATATGAGAAGAGCTGCCAGAAGGCAGGAGCAGCTAAAGCAGAGAGGATGACTCGGGAGTAGGGCCAAGAGATAATTGGCCCCTCCCATAAAGTTTAAAAGACCAGCAATGGCTCTTGGCCTCTTTGCCGGAAAACAACCATTGAGATTTGCTTCGTGTTTGGATGTATTTCTTTCTTGTCAGCGTCTTCTGTTCCTGAACTGTTGCCAAGAAAAGCCTTTGGCAGTTTGCCTAATTATCCCAAGGTCAGAGATAAACAGAATGTATTTTGAGAACTGCTTTCATTTAATTTGGAATAAGCTGAGAATGAGTTAATTCTCAGCTGTTTTAATAAAATGTTTGTTTTTTGGAACTGTTTTGCATTTAACATTAACTACGTGGGCCTGAATCACAACAGGCCAGAAGGCATCTTATGGAATCAGCCATCAAACACTTATTGGACATTCAGGCCTTTTAACCAGTTCCGGTGGTGGAACACGGTTAGGGATTTTATTCCTGGCTGTTCCTGGTGCAGAAGTCCTCGGGAGGCTGGAGGGCGATTCTCAATCTCAAGTCCTTGAACCAGTATGTTATTTACCGCAGGCTTACCTGCATGTCCCCATCCATCTAGGGTTCAGGAAATTCCTCCAGTTTCACTATGCGGGGAAACATTATCAGTACCAGGCGTTGCCCTTCGGCCTGTCCTCTGCTCCGAGGGTATTTACCAAACTGATGGCTGCCCTGGTAGGCCATCTCCAGACCTTCACGGTTCAGATACAGTTTTATCTGGATGACATCCTCAACTAGTCCAGTTCAGAATCCCAGGCCTGGCAGGACCTGAGGGTCACAATTCAGGTTCTTCATGACCACGGGTTTTCCATCAACAGAGCCAAAAGTCATCTGATCCCAAAAACTTGCTTGCTCCACCTAGGGGCAATAATCAACATGGTGGCGTCAAAGGTGTACCTGTCACTGGACCGCCAGGCCAGTCTGAAGAAACTGGTAATCCACGTCTTGGAGGATCGTACATCATTCCTGTTTCTTCTCTCTCAACTGTTGGGAAAGATGGTCTCATGCTTCGGCATTGTTCCTTGGGCCCGTGTCCACAGCAGGGCTCTGCAGTGGTACCTACTTCCGTTCCAATGGTCCCGCCACAGCACGTCTCTTACTCGTGTGGTGGTTCTGCCAGTGGTGCTGGTGTCCCTCTCTTGGTGGAGGTCGGACGCTGTTGTCCAAGATTGCAGGTTCTGGGAGCCTCAACGCATCATCCTGACTACAAATACCAGCCTCTTCGGATGGGGAGGCCACCTCAGCTCACACATTACTCAGGGTCAGTGGTCCCCGGAAGATCTGACACACAACATCAACTAGTTGGAGCTCCAAGTTGTTCACCTGGCACTCCAGAATTTCACAGATCTGGTGTCGGGGAAGGATATTTTAGTTCTGACGGACAACGTGGCTGCCAAGGCCCACATAAATTGCCAAGGGGGGACACGGTCCCTGTCTCTCATGCAAGTGGCCGAGCAGCTGATTCTCTGGGCAGAGTCTCATCTAGCTTCCATCTGGGTGGACCACATTTCAGGAGTGGCAAATATCCAGGCGGACTGCTCAGTTGGACATCAATAGATCAGGCGGAGTGGCGTTGGACCTGTCTCTCTTCCAGGAGCTGTCAGCACATTTCGGCTGGTCAGTGGTTGATTTGTTCGCCACACTGGACAACCATCAAGTACCGAGGTTCTTCTCCCATTTTCCAAGCCAGGGGGCAGAAGCTGTGGACGCGCTGCAGAGTCCCTGGCCATCAGGACTCCTGTATGCCTTTCCTCCTCTTCCCTTGATCCCCAGGGTAATCTGGAAGATTCTGGAAGAGGAGGCGGAGGTTGTACTTCTGGCCCCTCATTGGCCCAGGAGGCCGTAGTTTGCAGATCTTGTGACTTTATCAGTGATCGCCCCTGGCAGCTGCTGTGGGACAGGATCTCCCTCTCCCAGGGGGCATTGGTTCACCCAGACCCTCAGTGGCTCCAACTGACCGCTTGGCGCTTGAGCGGAGCCTCCTGAGGGCTGACAATTTTTCTCCCGGGGTCACTGCTACTATCCAAGCTTCCCACAGGGATTTCACCAAGCGAATTTATAATGCTACTTGGAGGGCCTTTTGTACTTGGTGGAAAAAAGGGGGTCTGGTTCCCACTGAAGTTTCTGTGACTCACATATTGGATTTTCTGCAGAAAGGTTTAGAGGCTGGTCTGGCTCCCAATACCCTTCGGAGAGAGGTGGCAGCTCTTTCTTCCATTCTGTCATGTGGAAACCGGGAATCGCTGTCCAAAAATCCAGTGGTTCGTCAGTTCCTCCAGGAGGTAATTAATCTCCGGCCTCTTGTGGTTCACCGGTTCCCTTCATGGGACTTGAACAAGGTCTTAACCGCCCTCACCCGAGGTCCCTTTGAACCTCTTTGGGAAGTTAGATTAAAAAATGCTATAAGGTAGCATTTTTGGTAGCTATCACTTCTGCTTGGCAAATATCTGAGCTGGTGGCTCTGTCCATTCGAGGAGACCTTTGTGTTTTCCATGCGGACAGGGTGGTTTTATGCCTGGACCCTACGTTTCTTCCCAAGATCAACACGTGGTTTCATAGGGCTCAAGAGTTAGTTCTGCCAAATTTTTGTCCTACTCCTTCACACCGTTTGGAGCGTATTTGGCGTACCTTAGATGTTCGGAGGGCTCTCCGCATCTATCTTAAACGGACTTCTCCTCTAAGGAAGACTTTTTGTCTCATTTCAACCGGCTTCTCTCGGTGGCAGAGTTTCATCCTCTACCTTGGGTAGATGGATTAGGGCGTGTATTTCTATAGCGTGTATTTCTATAGCGTATGAGGCCCAGGCGCTCTCTGTTCCTCGATGCATCACAGCCCATTCTACCCAAAGTGCAGCTATTTCAGCAGCCTGGGCTATCCAGGCTTCACTGGAGGAGGTTTGCAGGGCAGCCACTTGGTCTTCCCCTTCTCCTTTTGTTCGTCATTACAAATTGGATACTTTTGCCTTGGCTGAGGCGGCATTTGGCAGACGGGTTCTATAGAGGGTTCTTTCAGATCAGGAACCGCAGACCCGGACTTCTCCCTCCCAATAGGACATGTGGCTTTGGTATGTCCCATTCCTGACTGCTGTTTCCTTCCTGGTGGAGAATGGGCGTTGGTTCTTACCTGATACGCCCTTTCTCACTCTAGAGGAAACAGCAGTCAGCCCCGCCCATGTTCAGGTCGTCTGGCCCTGGGGTTGGGGAGGGTAGGACTTTCTTCTTTTTTTCTTCACAGCTCAACAAGTCAGTCTGCGTCGATGCCTTTGTCAAAAAGCTGGCAAGCAACAGGAAGAGGCATGTAACAATTTTGCAGACTCAGTCCATCAGCTAACAGAGTTAACCCATTCCTGACTGCTGTTTCCTCTAGAGTGAGAAAGGGCGTATCAGGTAAGAACCAACGCCCATTCTCACTTTGTCATTTTGGGGGGGAAAATCTAAATTGTACACCCCATTTCTTATGCACGAGTAATAGTGCAAAGGAAGGTTGTAATCATGCCCAGGAATGTAGTGGGGTATTTTTCCCTTAATAAGCTCTAGCTAGGCAAGTCAATGAACTGATTTAGAACAGAATGTGCTAAATCAAAGCTGACTTGGCTCTTCCCTTTTATTAGTTAAAGGATTTAAAGAGAACCCTCCAAAGCAATACTTTCCTTCCAATTGAAACTAAGATTAAAGTTAAACTGCTCCTAAGTCTAAGAAACCAAATCCTCTTAAATGGGGAATATCTTCCCATGGAGTGTGTGTGTGTGTGTTTCTGAATACCTCTAGGGCAGTATTTTTCAAACTTGGCAACTTCAAGATGTGTGGACTTCAATTTCCGAAAATACCCCAGCCAGCACACTTTGAAACCTGCACATCTTAAGGTTACTAAGTTTGAAAAACACTCCTCTCTAGCCTCATTGTGGCTGCCGCATCACAGCTATCAAGTATCTAAAATGCTTTTCAGGAATAAAAATTCTTATCCATACCCTGTAATCTCCAAGTTGTTTTTGTAACTCTGCCTGATGATTGTCTTCTATCTCTTTGCCTTGATGTTTCTCCAACAGAGGCAAGAACTGCCGGAGGGCAGAGGTACAGTATCTGTTCCAACGTGTCAAGTGGTTTGGCCGCCATTCCATGATTTTTTCTTTTAGTATCTTCTCAAGCCTGTATATATAATTTTTTGGGGAAATGTTAAATCTGATTTGAAATTCTGAGAGTTTTCTGCAACTTTTTGATGCAGAACATCAAGAATGAGCTAGCAAGAATCATTTTCTTTTTTTTTCTTTTTTTTTTATTGAAAAAGTTTTCAAATACAAATTTCCCCCCCCTTTTTTTCCCCCCTCTCCCTCCCCCTCCCTAACCCCCCCTCCCCACCCATCCCCCCCGTGACTTCTTCATAACAAAAAAAAAAAAACATAATTCATAACAGATTACTTACTCCCTCCTCTAGATATTGACCTTTACTTACTAAAAATATTATTAATATTATAACATCCCCCTTTATCCATACATATCAAAAAAGAGAAAAGAAAGGAAAAAAAAAAGACATTATACTATGACATTATAAAATAACTTCTCCACTTTAAAACTATACGATAAGTCCTACTTTAACATTTAATCTTCTATATATATTACTATAACATTCCAAAGCGGCCTTCCCCATAAAATCTAGTTTAACATTTATTCCACTCTATCCATTTCCTCCACTCCCCTAAATATAACACTTAAAAATCCCTTTTCTTAGACTAATCAATCTACTAAATAGCTTATTCACCCACTATCATGCAAAATTGCCATACACAACATTTCTTAACATCTTTGATTCACTGCCCACACTTCTTAAAAATATATGTCTATATTTTCCATTATATCTAAATAAAAAAAAAGAAAAGACAATGACTTTAAATTTATAATCCATATAGTATCTTCTTTGAGGTCTTTCCACTGGATTGGTAGAACCAACATCCATAATCGGGTAACATACCTTACTGGTGCAACAGTTTATTCAGGATCTTCAATCATATCTGCCCCCATCTGTAGTAAATATCTTCTTATATGTATAAAAGTAAAAACAACCACCCGAGTGACATTATAATTATATTCCATATAGTAATAATTCTGGGTTTCATCAGGATTATTAATTCCCATCATCGTAGTGGGTAACAACCCAATCTTCTGCATGCCCCAGCATAATTCTCTTGCCTTGTGATTCAAGATAATATAATATGTTTATCAACACAAAAAGAAATTCCAAAATGGATAATTCAAATCCATCAGTTTAAGGCTCGTTTCACGTCCCCGGATTACGGCCATGCAGAGATCTGCCACAAACCTCAGGATGATATTAACCAATACGTCGCCTCTTCTGTGTTTACCCATAATCGTTCATATTTTAAAATCACTGGCTTCACTGTTGCCTGATTAGAAATTTCTGTTTTTATGCCACCTATTTCTTTTTTTCTTTTCTTTTTGTGGGTTTGGTTTCCATCCTGGTTCCCTTTCTATAAAGTGTGTATCATCTGGTCGGTTTTTATTCTGCTTTGTAGATTGGTCTTGTTGGTTTTGCTTTTGTATCTCATATTTCTTTTTTATCCCTTGTATATCCCCTAATTGGTTTCCATGTTTATCCTTGCCTTGATAAGTCATCACATTAGGATTAGATGCCTCTTCTCTCAAATTTGTAGATAGTCCAGTTGGGGTATCCAATAAATCCAATGGCAATTCATCTGGTACAGTCTCTGTAATTCGATATTTTACCTTTATTTCCGGCTCCTTCTGCTTATCCTGTATTATACCTGGAGATGTTAAGTTCATTTTCAACCTATTTTGATAAAATTCTTCCGCTCTTTCAACAGTATTTAGCTGATATCTTTCTCCTTGGTATCTAAATATAATACCCACTGGGGCATCCCACCTGTAGGAGATATTTCTCTTTTTTAACTCATTCACCAGAAAACCAAATTTCTTCCTTTCCATCAATATCTTAGGTGGAAGTTCCTTGTAAATCCAAATCTTTCTTCCATACAATTGCAAATTAGAATTGAAGGAGTTTTGAACGATATTATTCCTAATCTCCTTATCTGTAAAATAAATCACCACATCTCTAGGCCATTGCCTTTGCTTAGCAATCCAGGAGTTGATTCGATAAACTCTGTCGATCCTACAAAACACTTCGTCAGGTTGAACCTTTAGAATCCCAGCTAGAAATTCAGAAGATATTTTCCTTAAATCATCTCTATTATTTTCCTGCAAACCTCTTAACCTTATCGCATATTCTGTAAAATTATATTGTACCATTAAAATCTCTTTTTCAATCTTCTGTTGCAGATTTTCTACATTACCATACTTTTGATCAGCATCCATTTTAGGTTTTTCTTCTAAGCTATTATCCTGAGTGTTTGTCAAATCATTTTCAATTTTTTGAATTCTATTGTCCAATTTATCTTGAATTTCTTCCATTTTAGACTCTAGTACATTAGTATTTGCGTCCAACTGTTTCATAAATCCTGTAAAACCATTAACCACTTTTGAGAGTTTTTTCTCCAAAAAATCAAACTTAGATTTCACCAATTCTTTAATTTCCTGCTTAAATTTTTCAAATTGCTGATTCACAATCTCCTCCCTTCTTTCAATCTCCTCTATAAAAAATTCTATTATATTAAAGTCAGGTTTCTGAGACTGAAGAATTAAGACTTGTTCCTTTAAGTTGTTGGTGGGGGGATCCCCCCCCTTCTTGTTTATCTGACTTTATGAGTCTCAGTGCCATGTTTCCGCCCAGGCAGGCTTTGTTAAAAAAAAAAGCAAGCAAGAAAAAAAAAAGGGACTTCTTTCCAATCAACAACAATATCAGGTCTCCAAGGGAAAAAAAGAGAGAAAAAGACACAGGAGCAAAGTTTTGTCTACAAATGTAGCCAGTGGTATTTATTCTGCTACATTGTAGTAATAGAAAACGGAAAGACTTCCCTTTCAGCCTCTCCTCCAGCCAACGCCATTTTAAAGGCTTCTTTTTTTTTTTCCTCTTTCTTTTCCTCCTCTCTCTTAAGTAATTTTTTCAGTAAAAATCAGTAAAATACTTGCAGTTCAATATTACAGGTCCAGCTCACATTTTCTTTGAGTAGTCTGTTAAATTTGCAGGCTTGCTTTTGACGCCTGGCTCTGCATCAGCAGAGGTCTCCCAAAGCCCGGAGCGGCGGCTGGGGATACGGGGCATCTCATCCGCTCCGTCCCAAAAGTAAAAAAAAAACGTTTGGGAGTCCGCAGAGAGTTCTACCCACCCCTGCCGGCTCTATCTCCGTTTCCTCATGGAAACGGAGTTTTTTCGAGCCGCCATTCCATTGTGAAGGCGGCTCTAACAGGCGATGGAAGCTGACGATCCCAAAGGAACGTCTGGCAGCGGCAAACAGCAACCCGGAAGTCGCAAGAATCATTTTCAATTGGAGTGGCATATTTGCCTTGGTAAACCAAATAGCTAAATAAACTACATTAGAAATGTGATTTCTGGCTTCTCTATATAAAATATGTTTGATTTCTGAAAAGGTACTGGAAATGCTACAGTTTAGATACTTACCATTTTTGAAATGTAATATAAACCTCACATTTTAATAATAATATTTGAAGTCAATTTTCATAATGGAAAAAAAAATGAGACAGCAATACCAGGATTTGTCACTTCAATTAGGGAACTAGGTGAGAACAGGATTCAATATTTGTCTTCTGAAGTCCTTTCCATCTTTTCATTTGTGTCAACATTATAAACCTATTCCTTAAATTTTGGGGAAAGATGAAGGTTACATGACACCAAATCTGTAGGGTACATATGATAAGACAATGAAATCCAACCACACAACTGTGTCTTAGGTAGTTTGCATGAAATATGTCATGTTGCAGCAAAATCTCCGTGTGTTTACAAACTCTGTTTAATTGTTTCAAAAGTAACGTGAAATATTGTTTTAAGTGTTGCAATGTAGTTATCAGACTTGCTCTGATTTAGACTTTTAGGAAAGAAAAACCCTCAACTCCATTTGGTTGAAATGATAAGTTCTTTTACTAAAGTTAAGCAGTTGCAGTGAAAGTAAAGCTAGATCTGAGTATTCCTACACAAAGTTTACACTACTCCCTTTCCCTGGCTTGTCCTCCTTGACCAATTCACCAGTACCCAATAGTATTCCTTTTTGATGTTTTGGGAAATGCTTTGATGCTTGGCACCCCTCAATGTAGTTTCGCATTCTCTTCCCAAGCCATGTATCCTTGGTGGTTGGCTTATTCCAATTTGACACCTCTGGTTCTCGTCAGCTTGTCTCCCTCTCTCTTTTGTCTTCCCTTTCCCATGAGGTTTCTTTTGGGGGACTCCCATTTTTAGCTCCGATTTCCTTCTTTGCATTCCTGCCTACTGGCATGAAGAGAAACTTCCTAGCAGGACAATTAACCAGTGGAACAGCTTGCTTTCAGACGTTGTGGGTTGCTTCATCACTGGAGGTTTTTAAGGAGAGACTGGACAGTCATTTGTCTGAAATGGTATAGGATCTCCTGCTTGAACAGGGGGCTGGACTAGAAAACCTTCCCGCTCTATTCTAATTCTGAGGCTGAGTTTGGCCAGGTTTTTTTTTTTTCTTTAATTTATATGCCGCCCTTCTCTGGAGACTCAGGGCGGCTTACAATGCGTTAAGCAATAGCCTTCATACTTTTGTATATTTATACAAAGTCAGCTTATTGCCCCCACAATCTGGGTCCTCATTTCACCTACCTTTGAAAGGATGGAAGGCTGAGTCAACCTTGAGCCTGGTGAGATTTGAACTTGCAGTAATTGCAAGCAGCAGTTGTTAATCACAGTGCTTTAGTCCACTGTACTACAGATTCAGTACAGTACAGTTTTCTTTTGTGCTCTCCCTCGGATGTTTTTCATGAATCTTTAATATCCCCCTCCTCCTCCAATTTACATAGAGATTCCATTTCAGGAGCCATGCCGGTCCTAATACAAAGGATCTCTCCATGCATGGGGCACAATAAACCTTAGGGTTTCTTCATGGGGCCCCATCCTCATCTCTATCAGTTCAGTGACAAATGTCATGGGTGCCCCTCCTGCTACTGACCCATCCAACTGGCAGAAAGCTATGGGTATTTTAAGTTCCTTAGCTGCAGACCCAGTTTCTTGACTAAGCCAGGGTTGAGCAGGCATCTGGTGCAGCCCAAGTCTAGGAGGGCAAACAGGTTCTCCCTATGCTCTGAAGAAGGCACCATCAGTTCTATAAGGAGTATCATGGGTTGACTTACCAAGGGGTCATCATCTGTGTCGGTGTTACTCCCCACCGGGCTCCTGGTTGATGCTGTCAGAGTTCTCATAACTCAGGTGATGGAGTGCACTCAATAACCTCCACTCCTTCTAGGGCTGTCTCACAAATCCTCGAGGTTGCTTTTCCGGGTTTTTTTGTGGATCCAGTAGTGGCCTTTTACATTGGGCATGATGCTTGGCAATTGGCTGCTCTTTTCTGCATTTGAAGCATCCAGTGGAGTGGTGGTGTGGGCTTTGATACCGTCCTCCTGGTTTTGGGGGTTCTCTCTCTGCCAGGAGGGACCTCTAAGGTTGGGGCAATTGCAGGATCGGGCTAGCTTGATTTCAACTTCTTTGACTGACATACCACCCATAGAGGGTGCGCAGGACGCCTCTGGAAATGCAAGTATTATACACATCATTCAGCTTATTTTGGAAAGATTATCAGTGTATCTTGTGGCCAATCAGCTAATCTGCATGGCAAGCTGCAAAATGTTTGGTTGTAGGCAAAAACGGGTTGCTGACTTTGGTTTATCTTAATTCTTGTCTTGGCCTTCCAATCAGTGAGGGGGTCTTTGAATTACTTCTGGAGGGCTGCCGTGAACCGACTGACGTGCAACTCCAGGGCAACATCATTGTAGAGGGCAACCATCTACTCTATGGCATTCCCCTCCACTGCTAGGGTCACACTTGATACCTTGACCCCTTCAGTCAGTAGGTCACCCACAAACTCCTGCATGTAGGTTCACACTTGGGTTAAGAAGAACACCAAATGCTTTGGGTCTCCACTGAATCACATCCCCAAAGCCTGTGGTCTGCACTCTCTCCTCCTTGATGGAGTGGCCCAGGCCTGTGGCAGTGGCTGGCCCATCAAAGCTGGTGCCAGCTGCTGTGCTGGAACTGGATTTGGAGTAGGTACCATAGCAACCATAGCGATGGGTGTAACTGCACCATTGTCTTCCTGTCCCTGCCCTGGTTCAACAGGTGGTGGTTGTCAGCGTCAGTTGTCAGAACCCTGACAGTGGTGCCAACTGAGCTAGAACTTCATGTGCTTGGAGGTTGTTGAAGGCGCCCTTCAGGAATTCAATAGCCTGTTCAATGAGCATGCTGTCACGGTCTAGTTCACCTTGTGCCGCTTCGTCCTCATCTTCGGGGGTTCCCTCCAGCAACTTCCTCTGGTTCTCCAAGTAGAGGTCACTCTAGAGCAGGAGTGTCAAACTGCTGGCCCATAGGCCTGATGTGTCACACACAGGCCATGCCCACTCCAGCTCCGTGAAGGGAAAAATGTAGTGATACGTCACATGACAGCAATGTGACGCCACGAGTTTGACATCCATGCTCTAGAGGGTCTCCTCCCAATCGCCCTTATTACTGCCAGTAACCATTGGGATGTTGACTGATCATTGCAGCCTTCTGCCTCCCCTAGCCACTTGGGGTGATCTCTGTTTAGGAGATCTCTTGAGTCTTTGGAGAAAGGCGGCATACAAGTTGAACAAATAAATAAATACAAATAAATAAATTTTGATGTGGTCTCCCCCCAAGCTTCCATCTCCTCCTGTTCATTCTCTTGCACCGACATTCTGTTCATAGTCCCCATGGTAGAGGTATGTCTCCAGGTTGACCGTTATTGCAGATTTAGCATTATGTTAGACCTGCCCCAACTTAGACATTTAGGAAAGAAAAACCCTCAACTCCATTTGTTTGAAGTGATAGGTTCTTTTACTGAAGTTAAGCTGTTGCAGCAAAAGTAAAGCTAGATCTGAGTATTCCTGTGAAAAGGTTACACTTTTCCCCTTTCCCTGGCCCTCCTCCTTGATCAGTTCACCAGTGTCCAATAGTATTTCTTTTTGATGTTTTGGGAACCACTTTGATGCTTGGCACTTCTTGATGTAGTTTTGCATTCTGTTCCCAGGCCAAGAATCCATGGCAGCTGGCTTATTCTGGTTTGACACTTTATCTCCCCCCCTCCCATTTGTCTTCCCTTTCCCATGCCTAAGCATTACTTCCCTAAATTCCTTCCCTCCATTTTCTTGTGATTTATGGCAGGATGCCACTGAAGTGAAGAAGCTGAAGATGGCAGACCTGACAGTAGTACTCTGAGCTGACAGTGCTGCCAAGTTCAAGAAAACAATATCATCTGTTTCCTAAGGAATTATAGCTTTGAGTTTTTCTGCTGAAGCCTGGATGTTAAATTTTTCACCTCTCTTTGTGATGATATTGCATGGACCAGTACTACAATTTGAAGTGAGGTGAGCGGAGAGACAAAACGATCTGGCAGACAACAAGGAGGTGAGCTGGTGAGTGAGCGGGGCCAGCTGTGGAGCAGGGAGGAAAATCATCCATGGGGCAGACAGGCTAGCTGACTGATGGCAAAACAACGACCGGCAGAGAACAAAAAGGTGAGCCGGTGAGAGAATAGAGCAGGGAGGAGGAGGAGGAGAGCCAGCTGTGGAGAGGAGAGGTGAGCTTAGTGTAGGTCATCCAGGCAGTCCTGTTTGCTGGGAAAAGCAGCATGCTGACGTGATGGACCAGCAAACGGGAGCCATGTGGCTGAGGAGCAAAGAGCAGCAGCAGCGCAACAGAAAGGAGAGCCAGAAGAAAGGGCAGCACAGCGAACCAGATCCTGAGAGCAACGTAGAGAGCAACATGGAAAGCAATGGTAGAGCAACGGTGGAACCAGAGGCTGTTGGTTGTGGTGGAGCATTGCAGCACAGCGGACCAGTGAACGGTGACTGCAGATGGCAACAGAACAGCATGGCAGACCAACAGATGAGGGGTTGGGCAACCCCATGAACTGAGAAAAGCAAGGAGAGCTGAATACCTGGTAGTGGCAGGAGAAAAGCAAGTAGGAAGAGAGAATAAAAAGACAACACAGGACACACGGCAAAAAAAAAATTAAAGGCGAGTAGACAATAGCAAGTACGGAACATATAAAGGCAGAGAAGGAAGAAATAAATAAAGCCCACAAGAAGGCAGGGAGGGAAAGGATCATAAGAAGGCAGAGAGGAAAGGGATAATTATAGAACATTCCATTACAGGCTAAGAAGAAACCTTGCACCTAAGCCCACTCAACACTGAAAATTTAAAAAATTTATAATTTAAATGATCTGCTAAAACTTTAGAATTTTAAACTAGACAATTTTGAACTATAAAATTTTAAATCCTTAACTAGAAATTTTTTAAGTGCTAGAACTTTAAATTTTTAGCTATACTTTTCCTGCTAAATTTGAAATTTTAAATGATCTGCTACAATCTCAAAATTCTAAATTGGACATTTTTCCCTTTTAAAAATCTGTGGTAAAACCTTCTACACTTTCATTTTCAAATTTTTAAAAATCCACTCATGGAAAAAGAAACTGATACTATCATGATCTGCAAAACATGTTCTATAAATACACTTATGCCCATAGAATACCCAAACTATATATGTACCAAATATAAACTAATCAAGTTACTAGAAGAAAAAGTAAAGGGTCTAAAGGAAACTAACCACTCTGAAACTCAACCTACAAAATGAGAAACCCCAACCCTTGCAAGAAGAATATGCCCAAATTGAACATATTAATGATCAAACACCTTCTAAAAGAATTGATCCCTTAGAGGAAGAAGAAGACAGATGGAAACATGTCACTCATAGAAAAAAACACAAACCTAGTACAAAACCCGCCAACTCCTACCCACTATGATGCAGCCTCACTGGTGCTAAGAGGAGAGGGTCAAGCTATTTTCCAAAGGACCCGAAGGCCAGACAAGGAATAATGGATGGAAACTGATCAAGGAGAGATTCAACCTAGAAATCAGAAATTTTCTGACAGTGAGCGCAATCAACCAATGAAGCAGCTTGCCTTCAAAAGTTATGGGAGTTTAATTACTGGAGGCTTTCACGAAGAGATTGAACTTGCCATTTGTCAGAAATGGTGTAAGGTCTCCTGCTTCGGAGGGTTGGACTAGATGATTTGCAAGGTCCATTCCAACTCTTTTAATCAGTAGTTTCTGGGTCGTAATGATGAGTTCATATTGTTGTCAGGGTGCTACAAAGAAATTTCTCACTTTTATTCTTGCAGTGTGACAACTGCTGTAAATTTCAGTTCTTGCAACTTCTGTCCTGCATGTAAGGGACCCATTTTGCACAACTCTTCTGATATTGAAGAATATCAGTAATGCCACCTCCACATTCCTTTGAAAGTCAAGCTTGACAGCAATTTCCCTTTGATGTGTCAATTGTCCTTTATCAGTTCCTGATAAAGGACAATTGGCACATACTATGTGAAAAGAGTTCAGGAACTGATAAAGGACAATTGGCACATCAAAGGGAAATTGCTGTCAAGCTTGACTTTCAAAGGAATATGGCGGTGGCATTACTGATATTCTTCAATATCAGAAGAGTTGTGCAAAATGGGTCCCTTACATGCAGGAAAGAAGTTTCAAGAATTGAAATTTACAGCAGTTGTCACACTGCAAGAATGAGGTGAGAAATTTCTTTGCAGCACCCTGACAGTTTATACAATATGAACTCATTATTATTACGACCCAGAAACTACTGATTAAAAGAATTGGAATGATTGTTGTCACAGGTCAACCAGTTTATTCTTGATCACACATCTCAATTCTTTCTGGTTCACTACCTTTATATTTTTTGGCCTAGTAACACCATAAACAATCTGCATTTGAAAGTGATTTTCAATTGGAAGGGATCCTCCAGCAATCAAAAATTCAACCATAGCTAGATTTCCTTTTCTCACAGCAACCTCCCATCAAGTGAAGTGAAAGAATAGATGCTAAAGAACATATTGCAGCTTCTTGCAAAGCAGTACTGCCATCTGTTGGTAATTTAAAACATTGGCAGCATTAACTTTCAGCCCTTGAATATTATGGTTAATGCAAAATTACCTGTTCTGTAAATGTAGTGCGACAGCCTTGTCTGCATTTTGGTAGAAGAGTTCTTCAGGCTAATGAAATCAGAAAGAGAAGTAATTTAGCATTTATGAAATTTACTTCAATATTATAGCGCTTTAAATTCATCTGTACTTTTATTCTTTGAAGATCTGAAGTGATTAATATGGCATAAGAAAAATTACATTAAAATCATTTTGAATACAGGAAAAAATGCATTTTGAATACAGGAAAAAATGCGATTTATACAGGATAATCAAATTACTGTATTTTTCGTTCCTAAGACATATGGAGCAAAAAATATGGGCCACGGCAGCTGGGTCCTTTTACAGTGCTGAACCCCGCCTCTTCTGTCTTTGTCATAGCCCGCCTCTTCTGTCTCTTTTCCGCAGTGCAGAAGTCAATAGGCAGAGCTGCCACATGAGAGAACACCTATCTGTGGACCCCTCAGGCTCTGCCTCCTGCCCTCATACACTGCTGCTCCATATTCGGCGCTCCATATTCACAGTGAAACGGTGCCCCATATTCATTTTTTTTTCCTCCTCTAAACATAGGTGCATAGGTGGTCAGGTGCGTCTTATAGTGCGAAAAATATGGTATATGGTTTAGCTTCAAACTGTTTCTCTTTCACTTGTGTAATATGAGGCACAAACAACTTATTTCTGGTTTGGGAAGCGAAGGGTGATGGTGGCATAGGCACATTGTTCTGATTGAAAATCTTTTCAGTACCTGGTAAGAACTGGAATTGATTTTTTAAAAAATCTTAAATATCTATTAAATATTTAATACATATTTACATAAAGCAATCAATATTAAATATATCTTAAATATGAGCCAGTTGTATACTGTGGCCGCCAAAAAGTCAGTGCAATTCTAGGCTTCATTAATACAGGGATAGAATCAAGATCATGTGTAGTGTTAGTACCATTTTATAACCTTGGTAAGACTTGGTATACTGCTTCCAGTTTTGTTTATCACAACATAAAAAAGACACTGAAACTCTGGAAAGTGTGTCAAGAAGAGCAACAAAGATGATTAAGGGGCTGGAAGCTAAAACATGAAGAGCGGCTGCAGGAATTGGGTATGTCTAGTCTAGTGAAAAGAAAGACTACGGGTGACATGATAGCTGTGTTCCAATATTTGAGAGGCTGCTACAAAGAAGAGGGAGTCAATCTATTTTCCAGAGCACCAGAAGGCAAGACAAGAAGCAATGATTGGAACAAGAAGCAATGGGAGAGACCTCCGGGGGTGATGTCTTCACGAAGCGGGAGAGAGAATGAAATGTTGTCCCTGAAATCCCGAATATTCTTCGCTTGGAGCTCTTTATGGGCAGTTCCAATCCCCTAGAGATCGAGAAACAAAAGGGGAAGGTCTGAAGACCACAGACAAAAAGCAATCGACTGGAAGGATAAGGACAAACCTCTTAAGTCAGTGGTTCTCAACCTTCCTAATGCCGCAACCCTTTAATACACCACACCTCATGTTGTGGTGACCCCCAACCAGGGATGGGTTCTAAATTTTTTTACTACCGGTTCTATGGGCGTGGCTTGGATGTCATGTGACTGGGTGAGCGTGGCTAGCTGGTCATGTGACCGGGTGGCCATGATTATGTGTATAGGGACTACTCAGAGGGCTGAAAAAAGTCATTTCTGACACTTTTGCCTGGTCCTCACACTTATGACCATCTTCACATTTATGCCCGTGCAGCATTCTTAACAACCATGTCACTCATTTCACAATTGCTTCTCTTCACCATGGTGACAAGATAGGGAGAAAAACATAAAATGTGAGGACAGTCGTAAGTTCGAGGACTGGTCAAAAGTGCGAGGACCAGTCAAAAATAACTGTTTCGGCCTCTGAGTAGTCCATATGCACAAAAGGACTACCCAGAGGGCTGAAAAAAGTGATTTCTGACAGGTCCTCGCAAATCAAAGATTTCTGAGACCAATGGTGAATACTTAAATTTCAGTAGTCACCAATCCCAGTCTTAAAATGAGGTTAGAATCAGTGGGAGTCACTGATAACAATGAACTAACTAGCTACTGATAATGAGTCCAGTCCTGCCTTTCTTTTCCTTCTCTCCAAGTTTTGCAAGTACTTTTTCCAGGTATATGTTTTATTCCAAAGTACACAAACCATTAGTGTTAGGGAAAAAATGGGTCTTCCAAGCAATTTTAAAAGACACTGTCAGAATGACTCTGCTCTCAGCCCCCCTGGTGGCTCCTTGAAAAGCATCCCCCCCCACATATGTAAATGAAAAGAATAAGCTTAAAAATCCTAGCCTTTTAAAATTGAAAATATGGAGAATTGAGAGAATGAATTTGAGATACTAAGGGAGATGTTTCAAAAAGTAAGGGAGACATTTAAGGGAAATAAAGAAGCAGAGAATTGGTTAGCTTGCAAAAAAAGAAAGAGAAAAAATGAATGAGAAGCAAGAGAAACAAGGAGATAATATTGAAAAGGAAATAATTGAAAAAAAGATAAAGATGATTACACTGGGTTCAATAGAAAAAATGGAATAGGATGAAATATACTGCTAATAATTAAAAAGATGAGGGGAAATTTTGAGAAATATACTTGATAAATGAAAGGAAGACCGGGGTTGCCTGGACTCCATAGTGGAAAATATAAAATTGAAAATGAATACAGCAATAGAGAGAGATGAAGGAAGGAGAAGGGAGATGGAAGTGGGAAGGAAGAGAAGGGAGGAAGGAAGGGAAGGGAAATTAGAGTAAGAGTGAGGGTAAGAAAGGGAGGAAGAGAGGAGGAGAAGGAGAAAGGAAGAGGAAGTAGGGAGGAGAAGAAGAGGGGGGAAGAGAAAGTAAGAAGGAAAGAAAAGAGAGAGGTGGTAGGTTTGAGGAGAAAGATTGCTGTACAATAAAAAAGATGAAAGGGAAGAAAGGCAACCTCAAACAAATATAAAGATATTAAGATAAAGAATGAATTGTTAAACTTTAAAGAATAAAAGAGAACAAATATGAATAAATAGCAATAATTAGAAACACACCTACAAACATACAATGTATTTTCTTTGAACAGAGTATTTGGCTAGTTCACAAATTTAAAGTGTTTAGTCATTTCAATTAAATTTACAATTTCTATATTTCCTTTTTGCCATATTTATTCCTCATCTATTTTTTTAAAAAAACCAATATCACCCTTCATCCTCATCTCTAATTTTAATCAAATTCAATTTTTCCCTTCTATTCTATATTATACCCCTTCCCATTGTCATCTATTTTTAAATCCATCCTCACATTGGTTAATTATGTAATATTACAGTTGTTTAATACAAATTCAACATTTTAATATAAATCAATTAGTTATATTACTATCTTTTTTGTATATTAATCAATATGAACATGAATATTTTGCCGCTCTTATCGCGTCATCAGATAATCGCCCGGCCGCCCTGTTTAGGGTGACCCGCTCCCTCCTCCATCTGGAAGTGCGGGATGACCCCTTGCAGGGCCGAGCTGAGGACTTTGTGCAGTATCTGTATGACAAAATCGCTCAGATTCGGGAAGGGCTGGCCCAGAGGGTTTGTCCGGACGGGATGACTGAGGCAGGTCTTGAGAGTGTTATCTGGGGGGAGTTCGATCCTGTGGCTCCCGAGGACATGGACAGGGTCCTGGGACGGCTGAACGTGACCACATGTTTATTGGACCCGTGCCCCTCCTGGTTGGTACTGGCTTCCCGGGAGGTGACACGAGGCTGGCTCCAGAAGATTGTTAACGCTTCTTTGAGTGAGGGGGTCCTGCCGGCCGCTTTGAAAGAAGCGGTTGTGAGGCCCCTCCTCAAGAAGCCCTCTCTGGATCCGGCTGTTTTGGCTAACTATCGTCCAGTCTCCAACCTTCGCTTTGTTGCGAAGGTTGTTGAGAGTGTGGTAGCGCAACAGCTTCCCCGGTACCTGGATGAAGCTGTCTATCTAGACCCGCTCCAGTCCGGCTTCCGGCCTGGGCACAGCATGGAAACGGCATTGATCGCGTTGGTGGATGATCTCTGGAGGGCTCGGGATAGGGGTTGCTCCTCTATCCTGGTCCTGTTAGACCTCTCAGCGGCTTTTGATACCATTGACCATGGTATCATGTTGCACTGGTTGGCGGGGGTGGGGGGGGCACCGTTCTGCGGTGGTTCTCCTCCTACCTCTCTGACCGGTCGCAATCTGTGTTGACAGGGGGGCAGCAGTCGACCCCGAGGCACCTTGCTTGTGGGGTGCCACAAGGGTCGGTCCTCTTGCCCCTTCTGTTCAACATTTATGTAAAGCCGCTGGGTGAGATCATCCGTGGCTTCGGGGTGGAGTTCCATCAGTACGCTGATGACACCCAGCTGTACATCTCCACCCCAGGCCACCCCAACGATGCCCTTGAAGTGATGTCCCAGTGCCTGGAGGCCGTGCGGGCCTGGATGGGGAGAAACAGGCTCCGACTCAACCCCTCCAAGACCGAGTGGCTGTGGCTTCCGGCGTCCCGATATAGCCAGCTGACGCCATCACTGGCTATTGGGGGCGAATCACTCGCCCCCACGGAGAGGGCTCGTAACTTGGGCGTCCTCCTGGACGCACGGCTGTCTTTAGAAGATCATTTGATGGCCGTGGCCAGGGGGGCTTTTTATCAGGTTCGCCTGATACGCCAGTTACGCCCCTTTCTAGATCAGGACTCCCTACGCACAGTCACTCAGGCACTCGTCACTTCCCGCCTGGACTACTGCAACGCTCTCTACATGGGGCTCCCCCTGGGGTGCACCCGGAGGCTCCAGCTGGTCCAGAATGCGGCCGCGCGGGGGATTATGGGGGCGACGAGGCGCTCCCATGTGACACCTCTCCTGCGCGAGCTGTACTGGCTCCCGGTGGTCTTCCGGGTGCGCTTCAAGGTGTTGGTGACCACCTTTAAAGCGCTCCATGGCTTAGGGCCGGAGTACTTACGAGACCGCCTTCTGCCACCAATAGCCTCCCACCGGCCAGTACGCTTGCACAGAGTGGGCCTCCTCAGGGTGCCGTCTGCCAGGCTGGCGACTCCCAGGGGGAGAGCCTTCTCTGTGGCGGCACCCACCCTCT